GGGTTTGGTCCCAAATCTCTCTTTCAATTATTTAATTTAATTGTTTTGATTATTATTTTCCTTGAAGTTACTAACGTGTGTATTTTGTTATTAGAAAGAGGTACGAGGCATCCAAGTAAGTACTTTAATGGTTTAATTGATATTATGATATAGAAATCATGCTTAGATTGTTATTTTGATTCCTAGTATCATGTTTAGGGTAACTTTAACATTAAGTATGATTAAAAGTATAATGCCTTTTATTCTCTTCCTAATATTTATGATTGTTAGTATCATGTTAGGGCTAAAGATTTGATTTTTATTGTTTAGTGACATGCTAGGGTTTGTTATTAATCTTGTTAGTATCATGCCTAGGATCTTGCTATGCTTTAACATGATTATTATTATTATTAATTATGATTGATATTATTATTCATGTTTATTCCAATGATTGATTATTTATTATGATGATTAACATGATTATTATTATTATTCATGATTATTTTTATGTTGCTTGCTTATTATTTATTGCTTGATCACCTTTTATTGCATGTTTAAAGGGAATTTGGTACTTACAACCACGCTTAATAAGATATTTAATAATCTTGTTAGGGTTAATATGATTATTAATTCAAGTGATCGCCAATAATAGTTTATTTGTGCATTATATTCAACCAACATAGATTAAACAGGTTTAGGGTTAATCTATTGATTGTATGTTAGTCAGAAAGCGCACATGAATACGAGCAGAATAAAGTAGAGGCCTATTATTAGGGCAGGTTCAATCTCTTTTAGGTTGGATTTGTACCTTCATCCCCGAACCCTTATTTGGTTCATGACCTTATGGAGTTGACGATCTCTTGGATCGTTAAGGGGTGTAACCTTCACCTCGTGAACGGTTTACAAGTTCCTTAAAAACTTGTTGGCGACTCTTTTGCTCTATCTTCTTCCCTTTTGGACGCCACCGTACTTTAGTGTATGATCACAGTGGGGTTCAAGCTAGTGGGATTTTTAAGGCTTGAAATTATTCCCTACAGCATCCCTTTTACCTCATAACCCAGTAAGTACAAACTAAATTTCATCTCAGGAAAATCTAATCTCTTGAGAAGTCTGCAAAAAGACATACATTGAAACATTACAATTAAATCAATAAGTTGATCGGACAATGAGATAAAGACAATAGAGGTTATATAATGCATAATGGAAAAAGATAAAAACAATTCTAAACTGAGTAATACTTTTAAATTAGAAAAGACATGCTACAATGAAAATGGCATGACATTGAGGCAATCCAGAAATTTTTAATTTAAGACTCGCATAACTAAACTGTTGCAACCAATATTATTCTTGGTCCAAAATGTTTGAACAGAAAATTGTTGACATCATCCTCTCCTCAAAGTGTATATGTGTCGGGTTATCATAAAAAAAGTTTCCGTCAAATGCACTTATGATGTCATATATATTTATATATATATATTTTTTAACGAATTGGTTTTTTTTATTTATTTTGAATTATTTTCATTTTAAAATTTTGACTGTGTCGATAAATAAATAATTTTTATTTTTTTTTGTAAGGATTATGCAGGCAACCTAGCTATGAAGTCAAAAAGAAGTCATGTACTATTTGTTATACAAAATGGATCTAATGTATTCGCTAACTCTTAACTGGTGAAAAAAAAAACTCCCTTGAAAGAGAGGGGCGATACTACCTTGCGAGAAAGGTTCGACCTACCCTGAAAGAGAGGTGGTTCTCCGGCCAGTCATGGACGAAGAACTAGCAGATCAATGCTCAAAATTACGATTGCAAGATGCGGAACACGAAATTGTTGATGTTGGTGAGGTGAAAGATGAGATTTCGGAGGAACAAATTGCCCTAATGCTTGTGGGGCGACTAATTACGGATCGCAATTATAATCTTGAAGCTTTTAAGAGAACCATGATTCAAGCATGGTCCCTGTCAAAACGAGTTGTGATAAAGAGTTATTGGAACCAATCTGTTCGCCTTCCAATTCTTCCATTGGAAGGACCGTGAGAAGGTTTTGTACGGGCGGCCATGGTGTTTCGAAAATAATCTGATTGCTCTTAGCGAAGTAGAGGGAAATGAGCAACCATCCGATGTCATGCGGATGCATTCACCTTTTTGGGTAAGACTTGAGAATTTGCCGTTTAATAGACGTTCTGATAGTATTGTTAAGGCCATTACAGCTCCCACGGGTGAACTTTTGGAGATTGAACAGGATAATTTAGGCCTTGACAAATATAGAAGGGTGAAATTAAACCTGGACATTTCAAAACCTCTAAGACGATTTGTTAATATGAGGGACAAGGATGGAAGGGTTCTAAAAATTGACTTGAAATATGAAAGACTCCCTTTCTTTTGTTTAATGTGTGGAATTATGGGGCATAGCGAAAGAGATTGCTTGAATTTACCTGAAGAGGATCATAACCAGGGTCTTGGTTGGAGTCTACGACTTCGAGCAACTCCCAGGAAAGGGCGTCAGAAGTTAGTTGAGGAAGTAGAAGAGGTGAAATCATGTAGAAAAGTCCTTTTTGTGACCAAACCGGAGGCAGTGAAGGAGACTATAATGACTGACAGTTTAAACATAGTGCAGGGAAAGGAGACTGAAGAAGATGGTAGGAGATAAGGGGGAAGAGAGATTGAAGACATTGCAGCTTTGGTTGGTCCTTAAATTACACGAGTCCTATGATGAATGTGACAGAGGAGGTGACAGAGGATAGTGTTCTTGAGAAGAGTGAGTTGAAAAATAACTCTGGTAGCTATAGTGGAAACCCCATTTGTGAAGAGCCTTTGCTATTCCAATTTTTGGCAGTACCTTCTTCAAAAAAGGGGCTGGCTAAAAAAGGAGTTAAAATTAGGGGGGGAGGAGGGAGCAGTGGAGATAAAGCAACTGGAGTGGAAAAAAGCAGGTGTGGGAAGCGCAAGGAATCATCGAAGGGGGATGAAGTGGATGTTGATGAAATTACAAAAAGAGCTCGTATTCATAAAGCTACAACTCTAGATGGAGTAGCGAGAGTTGGTATTGACCAACCCCGCGAACATCAATGAATTTGTTATATTGGAACTGTCGAGGAGTGGGCAATCCTCGAGCAGTTAAGGCACTGAGGAGATGGTGCTCGCTTTATGCGACGGTGTTACTTTTTATTTCTGAGACTAAAATAAATAAAATTGAGTCTGAAAAGCTTAAAGATAGACTCAACTTTGATTGTGCAATAGGGGTTAGTAGTGCTGGCTTAGCAGGAGGATTATGCTTGTATTGGAAAAGTGATGCTATTTCTTTTTCATTGGTTTCTATGTCACAAAACCACATATGTGGGGATGTGACAGAGCATAATGGAAACTCGTGGAGGTATGTGGGTTTTTATGGATGGCCGGACTCAGGGAACAAATGGAGATCGTGGCAGCTTTTACGACATTTGTGCTTCTCCTTTAAGGGCCCGATTTTGGTTAGAGGAGATTATAACAAAATATTGAGTTATAAGGAGAAGGAAGGAGGGGCTGATTGTATTCGCAGGGAAATTACAGAGTTTCGGGCAGCTATAGAGGAGTGTCGGCTTAGGGACCTGGGCTACGAAGGGCTGTGGTATACGTGGGAAAAGGGTCTGTCCGAGGAAACCTTGATTCGTGAGCGGCTGGACAGATTTTGTGGTAATGAAGAGTGGTGTGATCTCTTTCCAGATGCTTGTGTCAAAACCTTAGTTCGGGTAAAATCTGACCACTCGGCTATTCTTGCAAGGCTGAAGAGACCGAAGAAAAAAAGAAAAAAAGGGAAAAATAACTTTAAGTTCGAGACGGCATGGTTGCTTAAGGCCTCTTGTAAGAAATCTGTGTGTGATGCTTGGACTGAAATAGCAGGTATGTCGATGGAAGAGAGGTTAGAGTATCTTCTAAATGCTCTCAAGGCTTAGAGCGGGAAGAAATTTGAGAACATTGACAAACAAATTGATGACACTGAGAAAGCACTACGAGAAGTATAGAGTGAGGCAGCCACGAAAGAGACTCTTGAACTTTGTTCGTCCTTGGAAGTGAAGCTCGATGAGCTCGAGAATAAACAAGAGGCCTACTGGTATCTCCGCTCTAGAGTCTCTGAGATAAAAGATGGTGACCGGAACACAAAATCTTTTCATCATAAGGCATCTCAAAGGTGGAAAAGAAATGAAATTAAGGGTCTTTTTGATGTGAATGGAGTTTGGAAGGAAGATGAGGAGGATTTTGAAGATATTGCACAGGATTTCTACTCTAACTTGTTTAATTCTACAGGGCCGACAATGGATGATTGTGAGAAGGTCCTCGAAGTAGTGTCCCCGTGTATTAATGATGATGACAATGCTGCCCTCCTTAAGCCGTTTGAGAAGGAAGAAATATATGCAGTGATTTGTGAAATGCATCCATGTAAAGCCCCAGGCTCGGATGGTATTCATGCCATCTTTTATCAGAAGTTCTGGCATATCGTAGGTGATGAGGTTTTTTATTTATCAGCAATATCCTTCATGGTAGGTGCTCTGCTAAACCGGTTAACAGTACAAATATTGCTTTAATCCCGAAAGTGAATGCTCCCACTTCTATGTCTGAATTCAGACCGATTGCTTTGTGTAATGTACTCTACAAAATTGCTTCTAAGGCTATTGTCATGCGACTAAAATCTATATATCCTTCCGAGAATCATTTTAGAAAATCAAAGTGCATTTGTTCCGGGTAGATTAATAACAAATAATGCCTTGATTGCTATGGAAATTTTCCAACAATGAAGAAACGAAGCAGAGGGAGGAAAGGGACTATTTCCATGAAACTAGATATGAGTAAATCTTATGACCGGATTGAGTGGTATTTTTTGGAGAATTTATTGTTAAAAATGGGTTTTGCTGATCGCTGGGTCAGATTGGTGATGGATTGCGTTTCAACAGTTTCTTATTCCTTCATCATTAACCACTCTGTAGTTGGGTCGGTTTTGCCTTCGAGGGGACTGAGACAAGGTGATCCTTTGTCTCCGTAACTTTTTATTATGGTGGCGGATGCTTTCTCAGCTTTGATTAAGAAGGCTTCGGATCATAGGCTCGTACATGGATCAGGGGCTAGTAGGAAAGGGCCGAAAATATCCCATATTTTCTTTGCTGATGACAATCTGCTATTTGCAAGGGCCAACCGTGTGGAATGCTCGAAGATAGTTGATATACGCAACATTTATGAAGCAGCTTCCGGTCATAAAATTAATTATGATAAGTTGGAGGTCTCTTTTAGCAAAGGCGTATGTGTTCGGAAACAGGAAGAGTTGGTTGATTTGTTGAAAATGAAACCGGTTATGAAGCACGAGAAGTATCTTGGTACTCCCACTGTCATCGGGAGATCCAAGAGAATGGTTTTTGCGGCTTTAAAGGATAGAATTTGGAAAAAGTTACAGGGCTACAATGGGAAGTTACTTTCGAGAGCCAGAAAGGAGGTGCTCATAAAAGCTGTGATTTAAGCTATACCAACATATTTAATAGGGATCTACAAGCTGCCTAGTGGTGTTGTAGATGAAATTTGGTCCCTTACGTCAAGATTTTGGTGGGGCAACTCGGATTATAGAAGAAGGGTGTATCGGCTCAACTGGGAGGTTATATGTAAACCTGGGCAACGTGCCGGGCCGGGCCGCCGCGGGCCGTGCCTGGCGGGCCACGGGCTAGTTCGTGTCGTGCCCGTCGTGCCGGCGGGCCCAAGATTTCGTGTCGTGCCGTGCCGGCCATTTTCACAGGCCAGCCCACGGCACGGCACGGCCCTCGTGCCTGGCGGGCTCGTGTCGTGCCGGCCACGTGCCAGCCTGCGGGCTGGCCTGCAGGCTGGTGCAGTTTTCAAATAATTTTTTTTTTTTTTTATGACATTATTATAAATTAATAAGTTTATAATGTATATAAGTTATAAAATTATAATAATAAGTTTTATAAGGTTATAACTTATAAGTTTATAACTTATAAGTTATAAGTTATTAAGTTATGAATTTTATAATTATAAGTTGAATATTTATGTTTTATAATTTGTATATTCAATATTTATATTTATATATTTACTTTATACTATTACTTTAAAATTTAATGTTTATGATTTATTAGTAATTGGTATAATTTTATTTTTTTTTTAATATGAATTTACAAATTGTAACAAAACGGGGAAAAAAGGCAAATTGGACTTTGGATGTGAATAATGCGTACTTTATATTATTATTACTTAAGTTGAGAAAATTGTACAATGATAACAATGATAAAAATCATACAATGATGGTATTAAACAAAAATTGGAAAATGATAAAATTGATATTTTTAAAATCGTACAATATACAACAATTGTCTATTCTTCTTCTCCTTCTTCTTGCTCGTCTTCGTCTTCGTCTTCGTCTTCGCCTTCGCCTTCAAGGTCATCGGCTAGTTGCATAGATTGGGAACTAGTCGAACCCGAACCGGAAGCGGAGGTTCCTTCTTCGTTGTCGTTGTGGTCGTAAGAACGGTCTTGTGAGCGATTTTCCGCATCCAACCAATCTTTGAAACACACGCACATTTCTAGTGTTTCGGGTTTTAGACTTGTTCTTCTATCGTCTAAAACCCTTCCGAATGCGCTGAAAGCTCGTTCGGAGGCGACGGAGGAAACTTGGATAGCAAGAATGTCTCGTGCCATTGCCGCCAAAGTTGGATGCTTCGAGCTTTGTTGTTTCCACCATGCAAGGAGGTCGAGGCTGTTTATCTCATCGTCGTCCATGCCTTTGGTGAAGTCGTAACTCAGGTACATCTGCAACTCCGAGACGTCGCTTTGCGTTCTCCTGATTGATGAATCACCTGAAAACCTTGAAATCAAGTTAGTAGCTTGTGAAAATAAATGTTTGGCCTTCTTACTTACGTTTTTGGATGGTTGGGAAGGCCCTGAGCGAGGAACGGTGCCATATTTGGCTTCATAGACTCTATATAAAGCAAAAAACTGATCCTTCACATTAGTCTTATAGTTTTCTACATCATCGTCAAGAAACATGCATTGAAAGTAAATGTCAACTAACATAAATGTGTTTTCATACTTTTGCCTAGGATCTAATATGGAAGCAAAAATATAAATCAAAGGAATCTCACTATAATATTTACGCCACTTTTTTCCATTGCTGGAAGATACTGATCATAATCACTTTGATGGCGATGATCAGCGAAAAGTTGGGCGAGTAAGCATGCATTAGAAAGAAAGTTTTGAGCACAAGGATTGTAAACAGTAGAAAAACAATACGTCATGTTATATAATAACTGTAAAAATTGCATATATCTTTCACAGTTATTCCAATCATCATCATACAAAGCATTTTGTGGAAATTTTTGGTTGTAAAATAATGTTAACGGGCCCTTGTACTCAATTGCCTTTGTTAATATGTCATAGGTGGAATTCCACCTAGTTGGGCAATCGGTTCTAATTTTTATTACCCTTATCTTTTGTTGTTTTAGAAAACTCTTCCATTCTTGGTATCTCATGTTAGAGCTATTAATAGACATAATAGCATCTCTGATTTTGCTGTAGTATGGGCCAATTGCCCGAACTCCATCCTGTACACATAAGTTAAGTACATGGCAAACACATCTAGTATGAAGAGCTTCACCGTCTAATAGTACATCGGTTAAGTTTTGTTTGATAAGATTAGTTGTGTATGTCATAGAGGTTGCATTATCAAAAGTCATAGACATCATTTTATCTCGAAGGTTGTATTCGTCTATTGCTTGCATTAAATGGTGAGCAATGTTAATGCCGGTGTGTGGGTATTCCAGCATTTTGAAATGTATTATTCTTTTTTGTAACATCCATTGATCATCTACCCAATGGCAAGTCACACATAAATAGTGATATTTATAACCACTATCCCAAGAATCGGCTGTTAAAGATACTCTACAGTTAAGGTTACTCAATTCGGCTTGTAACCGGACTTTGTACTCTAGGAAATTTTTCATTGCGGCGGAACGAACGGTTTTCCTAGAGATTCTTTTATGTTGGGGTTGTAGTGCTTTGTTAATGTAGGTGTTTAATGCGTCACTTTCCGAGAAAAGAAAAGGTTGTTCGGCGTGTACTATCATTTTTCCTAGTTCATCCCTATCCCTCTCATAGTTGTATGTAAAGCCGTATGGATGGAATTGGGAAATTTTGGGCTGGGTTGGATCACTAGCTGGTTTTGCACAAGCTTTCATGTGTCTAGATAAGTGTCCCGTCCCGTTTTTGGTAACTGCCGTGAATACACTATTACATGTTTTACATTTTGCCCATTGTTCACCATCTTTACTTAGGACAAAATAACGCCATACCTCACTCCTTCGGTTTTTCAAAAGTAGCATCTCAGTTTCGGTTAACCATTCATGATGTGTGTGATGGTTAGTAGTGGGACTAGTGGGAGTGGCAGTAGAAGGGGTAGAACCGGAGGGAATTCGGGTACTTTCTTGGCTACCTTGGCTAGAACAATAGTTTTGTTGATCACCGATATAATTAGGTGGAAATTGGTATGGTGGTAGTGGAAATTGGTTTAGTGGTGGTGCTGGAAATCCCGACGTATTATATGGCTCATAGTCCGGGGGGAAGTAAATGGGGTCATTGGTTTGACTCGTAATTTGGGGGCTCGTTGTATTTGGTGGTTCCCTAGAACTACTACTATGGATAAGTCGGCCTTTCCCCCTAGACCTAGATGATGGGTTGTTCGATGCCATAATTAACAATTAATTTTTTAATAAAAAGTGGTTAACTATAATAATAATAATTAATAACAACAATTTTAACAATAAAAATATCAATAATATTAATTAATAACAACAACTATAACAATAACAATAACAAATAAATAATAACAACAATTGTAACAATAATAATAATTAATAACAACAATTATAACAACAACAATAACAATTAACGACAATAATAATTAAACAAGATTATTCTAATAATAACAATAAAACAATAATAAATTTAAGATTAGTTTAGATCTTACAACCGTGCTTCAACGCTCCACTAATTACGATTACGAACTTTTTAATTTTTTCCGATATTAGGAAAATAATTAGAGAATTTAAGAGAATAATTAGAGAATTTAAGAAAATAAGGATTATTAGAGATTTAGAGAATATAAGAGATAAGAAGAAGAGATTGTGATTTTGTGATTTGGGAATGAAATGGAGGTGAGTATTTATAGAATTTTTGGGGAGCAAATTGGCAAAAAACTAGCCGTTTTTTAGCCGTTTTTTTGGCTTATTAAGGAGCTAGAATAAACGGTAACATTACCGTTGGCCCGCGGGCCGTGCCTACGGGTCGTGTCTGCGGGCCGGCACGACGGGCCAGCACGGCGGGCCATGCCCGTGCTCGTGTCGGGCCGTGCCTGGGAATTCTCAACCCTGTCCGTGGCACGGCCCGTGGCACGGGAGTTGAACTTCGTGCCGTGCCGTGCTTGAATTCGGGCCGTGTCGGGCTGCGCCGAACGGCGGGCCGTGCCGGGCGGCACGCGGGCCAACCCGGCCCGTGCCCAGGTTTAGTTATATGCAAACCAAAATGCTTGGGTGGGATGGGATTTTGAGATATGAGTGTGTTTAATGAGGCTCTTCTTGGCAAACTATCTTGGCGTCTAATAGCTCACCCGGAATCGTTGTTTGGGAGAGTTATGAAAGGTAATAATTTTCCCCATTCTGATTTTTTAGAGTCTGCTCTTGGTTATAATTGCAGTTTTTCATGGAGAGGAATTTGGGGTTCAAAGTCGCTTGTGAAGGAGGGACTGATTAGGAGAGTAGGGAGTGGTTTAAAGATAAAAGTGTTTGAAGACCCGTGGTTGGCGGATGATAAAGGAAGATTCATGACTACTCCTTGTGTCGATGGGCTGACTTTGGTGAAACATTTAATCAATGCTGACTCGTGTGAGTGGAACTATGAGCTACTTGCTGCAAATTTCGAAGAGCGAGATATCAAGTGTATCTTGGCTATACCCCTTAGCTACAGAGAGACAGAGGACTTTTTGACATGGGCTTTCTCCAAAGATGGTTCTTACATTATCAAGACTGCATATATATATGCTTGGCAAATCCTGTGATTTGGATTCCTTCCATCAAGCCTGGGTCGAGATTTGGGGGCTTGATACTATACCTAAGGTTAAGCACTTTTTATGGCGTATGTGCACAAAATCTCTGCCAACTTGTGAGCTTCTTTACAACAGGCATATGAAGGACTCGGCTAACGTACACACTACAGAATCACTACACCCCACCTTCTTTTCCTGCCACCTGTACAGGACTTGTGGAACGAATGTGAGTGCTCCAAACTTGTTTTTTCAGACCCATCATCTGATTTTAAGGAGATTTTCTTGAGTTAGAAGTATAACAACTCCAAAAAATGTCTCGTTGGGATTGCATTGCTCTGGCAGATTTGGTGCCGTAGGAATGAGAAGATTTTCAATAACACTGAAATCCCTCACCTGGTGGTACGGGATAGGGTGTGGCG